CTTCCTAAAATTGAAAGGCTTCCAAGAAACTCAAATGCGCTGGCATATGAAATTAAATAAAGCTGAATGAACATCAAGTAATTCCAGAGCAGCACCATAATAGCAGGAAAAGATGTTATAGGAGCTACATATTCTCTAGCCCTTGAAAGAGCCATTACTGTCACCTCCTTCATTTCTGTAGGCATGACTACTGATAACATAATTATGTAAACTTCATATTATCTTATCAGTGACTCCCACTACAGAAGAATGAGCATGTTTACATACAAATGACTATTATGATCACTAAAATTAATAGGCAGAAAATACTGAATAGAATACAAATATAGCCAGGTTCAATCTGTGGATATAGATCTGCAGAAAGTTTGAGCTGATTCAAACTTTAATTTTTCGAGTGTCGGCCATTTCAAGAAAATGCCAAAATTCTGAAAATTACCCAAGGCTATAGCCCATAGTTTTTTTTCAAAAAATGGCTTTTAAATTACCCCAAATTTTTATTACATTTTCTGATACATATTGATGTACATGTTGTAGAAAGTTAGTATCCATGTTGCAACTAAAACATTTTTAATTATGGCTATTTTAAAGATACATGTACATGTAGTCTATGATACATTGTCAAGAACAGCTTTACATTATTATCCTTTTAATTTTAGGGTGTTTTACGTAATGAGGAAGACCTTTCACATTTAGGACAAGACTTTAGAGATAAGTATAAAAGTCGTAGAGTTGACCTGTTTGATGATGAAGGATGGTAAACATATCAGACTGGATACTCTACATTAGTTATACTTTATGAACTCACATACAATGTACTCTTACTAATACATGTACATGAACATTTGGACTCCAAACAGGACCAGTTGGCATTAGTAATCTCTTTTAGTAAAATGTTTTATTGATAATAATAAAGTACAGGTAATAAAGTAATAATAATGTTGATGTCAGATTTTATCAAAAAAGTTGAAAGACAATCTACATGTAAAGGATAGTAAATTAACATAAAGAGCCTATTAGTGACAGAACACTCTAAAATTTAAATTATACATTTGCAAAATTTGCATTCTTTTATTCAATTAAGCTTCAATTACTATTTTTTTCTCAACAATTTCTTGATGTCTCTTATATTCATCTTCTTGTTCCATGTATCTCTGATAATGATCATCAACTATCTGAACAATATTAACTTCATTCTCTCTCACACGATACTTGTAATGTCTAGCCAGTATCACAAATATTATCAGTATAAGCAACTGGAGGAAGCACACTATTATGTAGTAATGCAATAAAGATTTGAAGTAAGACTGCAACACAGAATCAAAAGCATATCCTGCAAGTGAAGTATAGCAGAATCCAACCATCATTCCTCTCATGTGTTCAGGAGACTGTGCTATTGTAAACTCAAGGGAAGTTGGAAATGTAAGAAAAAAAGAAATTCCAAGCAGTACTTGTTGAATTATTAATAGAAAACCATACCTGTATGGGAGATAAATTTGCATTAATAATTGAACTATGCACCCAAGTAAAGCAAAGAGGAGCCCAGCACTCATTCTAGTAAGCATACTGGGTATATACTTGTGGAAGCAACCACGAATGATGAACTGATAAATGAAGAATAGGAGTACAATAGTGACAGGATAAGCATCAATGAACGTAATCATGACACAGTCTAGATCTACTAATGATTCACTGAAGCAATCACTATCAGAAACTTTTGAAATGAGTCCAAACCCAAGGATAGTAATAAATAATGGTAACATACGAAAGAATGTCTTCACATCTTCTACCTCTTCCTCTGTGAATGGTCCACCATATTTATCCTTACCCAGGTCTATTCTTGAAGGAGTCTCTTCCTCCCAGTAGGTCAGAGCACTACGATTCTCAGGATACTTGTGCTTCCTGGCATAACACAATACTCTAACTATCAGTTTGATGGGATTCTTGATCAGTGATATATTCTCCAGTTTGTGTTTAAATAATGAATGAGATACCAGTATAAGAGACAGTGCTACTCCTGATGTTATAAAAAAGACTATCTCTGCAGTAACAATGTCAGAGGTACCAAGTAGACGTAACCAATCGCCTAATATCCATGCAACTGGTAAAGCAGCAATATTCCAGTATATTATAGTACTCAGTTCATTAGCTGATCCTCCAATTAACTGATCAATATTGTACTGGATTATATTAGCATTAAAAGCAGTGACACCAATATAGCTGATAACAACTCCAGGAAGAATCCACATCCTCCCCAAAAGCCTGTAGCTGTTTAATATAAAGAAAATTCCAGTTGTAATCCACGAGATCAAACAGAGTACAATTCCAATCATTATTGCTCTGTATCTTCCTGTGTAGACATCAGTTAATAGTCCAGTGAGAGGATACAACATATAGCAAACTAAAGGAATATAATTTGCTGATGTTCCTATCATCCTACTAGCAAATACATTCAAATAATGCTGAATAGTCATCAGATACACCCAAACAAGAATCATAATAACAGGGAAAGACATACTAGGAACTGCATAGACTCTAGCCCTTGATAGAGCCATTGTTATCTTCTCCTTCATTTCTGTAGAGGAGGCAGGTGTAACCAGTTTACATTAACAATTACATGATTGAGTGATTATGTACTTATATGGGATACAATTTACTACTGTTATTGTTAAAATGTTTGCAGTTTTTACTATGGTACTCAAAATTGTACTAGATCTACCATAATTATTGTCATACCAAGTATAAAAATTAATTACTAATAATCATTATTTATATAAGCAAAAAATTTATATCCAATATAGTCTAATTATACATTTTACTGATTAATGTTCAATTATTATTATTTCACTCTCAGGAATTTCTTGATGTCTCTCATATTCATCTTCTTGTTCCATGTATCTCTGATAATGATCATCAACTATCTGAACAATATTAACTTCATTCTCTCTCACACGATACTTGTAACGTCTAGCCAGTATCACAAACACTATCAGTATAAGCAACTGGAGGACACACACTATTATGTAATAGTACCATGCTTTAACAAAATGTGACAGCATAAAAGCACAAGAGTACCCAATTCCAAATGAAAAATAACAAAGTCCAACCATTATTCCTCTCATATATTCTGGAGATTGTGCTACTGTAAACTCAAGTGAAGTAGGAAGAATGAGAAAACATGATGTTCCAGTTAGTACCTGCTCAACTAACAACAAAAAATCATACAAAAGAAACTTTTGAGCTAATACTTGAGTTATGCAACCAAGTAAAGCAAAGGCAATACCAGCACCCATTCTAGTAAGCATACTGGGTATATACTTGTGGAAGCAACCACGAATGATGAACTGATAAATGAAGAATAGGAGTAGGACAGTGATGTGATAAGTACCATAATCTTCAAACATTAAACTGTGTAAATCTATTGAATACTTTTTGATGCTATCTCCACGAGGAACCCAAATATGAAGAAGGACAGAAGTAACCTCAAATGTAGCTATTAGTATCAATGGTAGCATACGAAAGAATGTCTTCACATCTTCTACCTCTTCCTCTGTGAATGGTCCACCATATTTATCCTTACCCAGGTCTAGTCTTGAAGGAGCCTCTTCCTCCCAGTAGGTCAGAGCACTACGATTCTCAGGATACTTGTGCTTCCTGGCATAACACAATACTCTAACTATCAGTTTGATGGGATTCTTGATCAGTGATATATTCTCCAGTTTGTGTTTAAATAATGAATGAGATACCAGTACAAGAGACAGTGCTACTCCTGATGTTATAACATTACAAAGTTCATAGTTCAGTAGCCATAACCAATCACTTAGAACTAATCCAACTGGTAGAGCAGCAATATTCCAGTATATAATAGTACTTAGTTCATTAGCTGATGCTCCAATTAACTGATCAATATTAAACTGAATGACATTATTGATGAAGCTTACACAGCCAGTGTATTGAAAAAGGGCAGAAGCAATCCATAGTTTGGGATTATAGTAGTTGAATGCAAACGCAGCTCCAGTTACAATCCATGATATGAAGCAGAGTATAGTACCAATCACTATTGCTCTGTATCTTCCTATGCATACATCAGTTAATAGTCCCAGGAAGATGTAAAAAATGAAGCAAAAAAGATAACCTGAAATAATAACAAAAGAACTTTTAATGACGGCTTTATTATACGAATGAAACTGAAGGTAGAGTTGAAGATTCATGAGGTAATTCCAGACAAGAACCATAATAGCAGGGAAAGACAATACAGGAAATACATAAACTCTAGCTCTTGATAAAGCCATTGTTTTACTGTAGGAAAGAAAAACTAAGTGTTTACGTTGCTGTGTGCTTTTTGATTACCATATGTCAAAAAAGTACAATTGCCCCATTACCAGACAATGAAACAGAAAATGAGCAGCTGACAATGAGAAAAGTTATCGATAGTTGAGTTTAAAGTATACACAAGATGATTGGATCTGCAGCATTTAACTTTGTCATGAGTAAGGTCATTTCTTGATCAAAATGATTTTAATCTACTGCAGCTTTAAGCCTTGTTAATACCGCCATAAAACGCAATGCAAATGAACGCAATATCAAATTTTGGCCAATTTTGCATCAACTTCAAAGCGTTTTTGTGTCAATGCCTACCAATTTTTTATCATTTTGTCAAATGTAAACCTATATGAAGTTTAAATTCAAATTTGATTTAATTTTAGTATTTTTAAACGACAAACGATAGAAAAAAAATAGACTGAAACACATTATTAATAGTCATGTACTAAAACTGTTTGTAATTAATTCTCTCATTATTAGTCCTTAAAACAACAAACAACAAACAAATTCAATAATAATAATAATCATAATAATAACTAATTATCATTATTATAATAATTACTGCTGACTGGCAATAACACTAATAATAATAATAATAATAATAATAATAACAATAATAATAATAATAATAATAATAATAATAATAAAGGTGGGTACTATTATTTTTAAAGTTTCTTTCGTTGCTCATTTCTTACGACGGATCCTGACTAGTTCTTCATGAAGTTGCTCTAATTCCTTTTGTTTTGCAACAATCCTTGCCTGTGCTTCTATCTCACGCTTCATCTTAACAACCTCGCTAGTTGGACCTTTCTCATTCTAAATTGTAACAAATCATCGATTATAATTGGTGCATTAATAGTAAAGTACTGTATAAAAATTTAAGAAATGACAATAAAAATTCTTCAATTTTTAATCCAATACATTTACTAAAGCATAAGGATTTAATGTAAAGTGTGATAAAAAATTATTTCTGCAACCATTTACTACTTAAGGCCTTCATACACGAGGCAACTTGTTGCTAGCAACCAAGCACCATGTTGCCAAAAATAGAACATCTTTCTATTTCTGGCAACATGTTGCTTACAAGATCAAAGTAACAACAAATGTTGCTAGTAACATGTTGAAAGTCTTAAGATTAATGGTGACTCTCTCATTGCAGCGAGAGAATCCTGTAGAGGGTATTACTGTAGCTATCAATGTAGCTTACGGGTCCAATTGATCTTCCAAAGGCATCAACTGATCTTTCCTTTGCACTATCAACTGAGTCTTGAGCTGCCTTGACAAGTGCTTCTGTAGCTTTCTTAACTTGTTGACCGGCTCTCTATTGATATAAATAACAACAACAATAACAACAATGCTTTTATATTCCCTATTATCTCTTATAACTCTCGCTTTTCTCTCCCATTTCCCCAGTTATCCTTTACTTGTAGTCTCTTGTTATTCTCAGAGTGGGCATCAGCCTTAACTTGAGCAGCATGAAGGAGCTGTACGGTAGTAGCAGCAACTGCTTTAGCAGCTCCAATGAGCCTTCCTTCCTGGGCATCTCCTTCACCTTGAACAACATCATTAGCTGCTTCACATAGCTGACTAGTGGACTCAGCTACCAACTTGGCCTGTGGATGAGAGAGACAGAAAGAATAGTAATAATAATAATAATAATAATAATAATGATAATGATAATATAAATATACAATTGATTGATAATTTTTCACTTCTAAATAACATAAATAATTATAAATGTACAGAAAAGATAGCATGAAACTTTTTGACACTAATTGAAAATAAATGAATAAGATGATAAAATGCTTACAGCAGACACGAGTCCATCAGACCACTGACTATCAGCAGGGACAGTTCCAAGGGAGACCTTCCCTTGCTCTGTCAGTTCACGTTGTGTGGCTCTAGCCGACTGTACCAGACTCTTAGTGGCAGCTGCAATACTCTTGGCAGCCTCAAGAATCTGAGCATCAAAACTGAGATTAGCATCAGCAGTCTAGAGGAAGGGGGAGGGGGAGAGAAAGTTAGTGAAATAGCATAACAACAATGATAATGTATAATGTGGAATTCTATATCTGTACAATAATTAATAGCAACAATAGCTAAAACTATATCTAAAATTTAGATATTATGTTCAAAATAGCTTGGAAAAACTGGATTTGCATAACTTCTATGCACCATTATTTTATCAAATTTTTAGTAATTTCCTAAAAATTTATCCTTTTCCTAATCCACTACACAGTACTACAAATGTTTTTCCAGTACATTAATACTTACTGGTGCAACCCTCAGTGTCAGTTCTCCAAGTTTCTTAGCGGCGGCTTCAATGGAGGCAGCAGCTGCAAGGAGTTCTTGCTCAGCCCTGACCTCGGGATTACTCATATCAATGAAACCAGCTCCTTCTTTAAGCTCACCGGCAACCCTCACAATGTCACTGACGGCACTAGCAACCTCTTTAGAGAATGGGAGGAGCTTCTCACGAAGGGAGGAGTCACTAGGTTTAAGGACAATTTGATGTACCAGCTGGAGCAGAGCTTTGTAGGCAACGGCACATTCTCTACCACAAGCCATGACCCTAAGAAATAAATGAGGATTATAAATTTGTGTAAAAAATCCAAACTTTATTGGAATCAGCTCAAACTTTAAACACAACATAAGAACATGTATATGTATTAGATAAAATTATAAAAATGGAGAATTCTCTCCTTTTCGTTTTTGGCAAAATTTGGCCAATTACCCTGTACTTATAGTACAGGGACTTTGGTCCAATTTTGGAGAAACTTTAAAAATTTATAAAAAATCCAAATTTGATCGGAATCAGCTCAAACTTTCTACACAACATAAAAACATGTATATGTATTAGATAAAATTATAAAAATGGAGAATTCTCTCATTTTCATTTTTGGCAAAATTTGGCCTGTGACCCTGTACTATAGTACAGGGACTTTGGTCTGATTTTTGATTAACTTTGAAGAACAAAATGCTATCATTATATGCATATAAATCTTGTCCCAAATAAGGTCCATCAAGCAATCATATAATGATGACATTACTTTTCAGTCTGTTCCTTGGTCTGTGCAAAGTTCTGTGCAGCTCCTTTGCTGATCAAGAGGAGATCATGAACAGCCTGGAAGCTGAGATTAGCAGCTGCCGATATATCAATCTGCTTGCAGCTGTTACCAGCTGTGACCGTCTTTGAGGAGGCGAGGGTGATCGCTTTTGTGGCGTTAACGAGTTTCTCTGGAGTAGCTTTAGCTTTATCTAACTGAGGAGGCTTAGAGGATTGGAATTCCTGCAAGAAGAGAGTTTACTAATAATATACTAGCAATAACACTAATAATATACTAGAAATTTACTACTAATATACTAATAACACTAAAATAAAAAGAGATTTACTACAAGGAAAAATAAAAATACAGATATTTACACAATATACATGTACATTTATGATAACATACATGTATATATCAATATACTAGTAGTATAGTCAGTATACTATCAGTATATTATCAAGGCCTTACCACAAGATCGCTTTCGATGGAGTCGATGGTCTTTTCAAGCGACTGGACGCCACGAGCAGCTTCACTTTCAACATTCTTAACAGTCTTCAACAAACGACTAACTTCACCAACCATTTTCTGAGAGAGAGAGAGAGAGGAGAGAGAAAGATAAAACAGGTGCGTAATATTTACAAATGTTCTATTACTTTAGCGACTTCCTTAAGATTCTCCATGGCTGGGTCGCTGACGCTCTTTCCTGAAGCAACTTTAGTAGCATCAATGAGATTACCCATTGCATTGGCAACATCTCTTACAGCATTGAGCAACAGCAACTAGAAGAAGAAATAAGAATAAAATAATAATAATAATAACAATATAGCAATTAAAATCAATATTGTCACTAAGAATGATAAAGGAAAAATGGAGAAGGAAAGAGAGAGAGAGAGAGAGAGAGAGAGAGGGAGAGAGAGAGAGAGGGAGGAGGTAGAGATGCAGAAGAGAAGCTAACCTGAGCCTCAACATCATCAGAGGTAAGTGATGAAGCTCCTTTCTTGACTTGGTCTGCTCCAGTTTGGATTGTATTGACAGCTTTAGTGGCTGCCTCAGCTAACTGCTCCTGGGTACCACCAGCACTGCTCACCAGACGCTTAGTATCATCAACAAGACTGAGAGAGAGAGAGAGAGAGAGAGGGAAGGAGAAAAAGTTAGGATATACATTGTAGAGAGAATAACCATAAAAATAACATAAGGAAAATGCATAAATAAATATCTTCGCTGCCCAAAAATTGTTTTAATTTTGAGAAAACAAATCCTTTACTTTTATACTAAATATGAAAGTGGATTTGAAAAATAAAACCGACTGGCTATTCAAAAAAATTTGGGATTAACATACGTTTTTGCAGTCTCCACGATTTGGTGACATGCTTCAGAAAGACTCTCAGCTTCTCCTTCAGTAGTAAGAGCTCCGGCAGTAGCAAACATGGCCGACGTCTCAAGATCCCCAACAATTCCCTGAATCTTGTTAATGGCCTCAGTACAGGCCTGGGTACCAACGGCACCTTTCTGAATGGTGGCAATGACCACACCCACCTGTGTAATGAATAAATAATTAATTAATGACCACACCCACCAAAATAATGACTGATTAAATACTGATATACTTAATAATTACGTAATATTAATATTAATAACTCACGTTTTCATTGACAAATTTGGCTTGAGTGTTAAGATCTCGTCTCAGAGATTTATCTTCAGGAGCTGCTTGAACGCTGGAGCCGTCTTTAACCAGCTGCATACAAGTATCACCTAATTCATGAACTGCCTCTTGAAGTTTAGCTAGCAGCTGTGGGTGGGATACACAAAACATGAAAAATATCCAATAATTTACTAGTTCATAGTCTCAGTATACTCTGAAACTTTACATGCATGTACCGGAAAATGTAATAAAAATTGGGAGCCATTTTTTGGGAAAAACCATGGGCTATAGCCTTTGCTTCATTTCAATAATTGGTTTAATTGATTTTTAAAATGGCTATAACTCGAAAAATATTTGTTGGAATTGGCTCAAACTTTCTACACAGCATAAGGACATCAATATGTATCAGAAAATGTAATAAAAATTTGGGGTGATTTCGGAGCCATTTTTTGAAAAAAACCATGGGCTATAATATAGCCTTGGGTATTTTTCAAAATTTTGACGTTTTCTTAAAATGGCTATAACTTGAAAAAATTAATCCTGAATCAGCTCAAACTTTCTACACAGCATAAGGACATCAATATGTATCAGAAAATGTAATAAAAATTTGGGGTGATTTCGGAGCCATTTTTTGGAAAAAATCATGGGCTATAGCCTTGGGTATTTTTCAGAATTTTGATGTTTTCTTAAAATGGCTATAACTCAAAAAAATTAATTCGGAATCAGCTCAAACTTTCTACAAAGCATAAGGACATCAATATGTATCAGAAAATGTAATAAAAATTTGAGGTGATTTTGGAGCCATTTTTTGGAAAAACCATGGACTATAGCCTTTGCTTTTTTTTTCAAAAAATTGGTATAATTTTTAGGTGACAATTATTGAGAAAAAGCCAAGCAATGGTAGGACTTGTAACTTCAAATACTCACATTATACATGCATAATGTACTGCATGTACCATGAAACTTATTATGTACATGTACATGCACACATACAACATCCCAAGTCAGTAAATTCTAGTATATTTCAGTATACCTCATCAGACTCAATAGTGGCGAGTGCTCCCTGAGTAGCGTCAGCAAGTTTAGCATAATTAATAGTAATCTCTCTACTGCAGGTGTTGATCTCTGATGGCTTGCTTGACGCCTTCATAGTGATGTCCCTTGTTGTGGTAACGATGGAGCGACAAGCCTCCAAGGCCTGGGTCTGGTATTCAGTGAAGGTCTTAACGTCACCGCTGGGCATGTCGGCAATACGGGCCTGAGCTTTGCTAATATCCTCAACCATACCTTAAGAGAGGAGGAGGAGGAGGAGGATAAAAATATGTATATATAATAATGTATTTTACATGTTGTGTATTAGGAAAAGGAGAGAGAGAGAGGGGGGGGGGGAGAGAGAGGGAGAGAGAGAGGGAGAGAGAGAGAGGGAGAGAGAGAGGGAGAGAGAGAGAGAGAGAGAGAGAGGGAGAGAGAGAGAGAGAGAGAGAGAGAGAGAGAGAGGGTGAGAGGGTGAGAGACAGAGAGCCCCCATTAGCCCACCAGTAATAAGTCCACTCTCGGCTCCAGCTTTCTCCAACAGTTCAGTCAGCTCCACAGCTGCATCAGTAAAGAGTTTAGCCGCCTCATCAACTCTCCCATGAGCTTCCTCACTCTTAGGATTGCCTCCGCTCTCCTTTGAAGCATACACCATCTGTAGACCAGCTTCAGCCATCGTCTTTGTCTTCTCAAGTAGGTTGCTCTGCATTTGTTGTCCGGTGGTACGAGATGCTGCACCTATGGCTGCTCCGGCAAGAGATGGGAAGAAGTTGGCGACAGCTGTTACTTGATGACCGAGTTTCTCGGCTTCGCCTTTGGCAGCGAGAGATAGTGGGGTTATGTTGTCTTTGATGTCACCGACGCTTTGTAGCATCTGCTCTTGGAAGCCCTAATTAATAATAATAATAATGAATAATGAATAATAATAATGAATAATAATAGATAGATCTTTCTGTTGGTTTACATGTATGTGAACATGTTACTATATGCCATAACAATGTCCTGATTAAACATGTACATGTACATATGTTGTATGTATTTATTATTATTATTATTATTATTATTATTATTATTATTATTATTATTATTATTATTTTTTTTTTTTTTTTTTTTTTTTTGCTTAAAATGTACAAGTACATGCATTTTGCTTTTGCATATAATCTTAATTTATTCATCTAACATCTACTGTACATCTAAAAGTGTATACTCTTTGATATAAAATATTAAATAATATTCAATAAATTACATAAATATATTAATAAACACACTCTCCCTCACTTGTAGTGAACTGGAAGCATTAGGCTGTAGTCCCCCAGTGAGTGTGGCAAGCATTGCCTGGTCCAGTTGGTTGATGGAGTCATTGAGTATATCAATAGCATCGTCACACTCATTCTGTCCTGGACACTTGGTTCGTATTGAATGGAGTAAAGCCTTCATGGAATCAGTAACAGCCTATGGAGACAGAAAGGTAGGACATTATACATTACATTACTGATGCTGTACACAAATTCTGTGGTCTGTGCATGCCTATTATTGAATAAAATGGCTAATAAATCATTATCATTATCTTAATATTATGCTGCTTCTTAAGATATAAAAAGGAAGGACGTAGATTATACATTATAAGTACTACATTAATTAATAAAACTATTGTTAAAATTACCATCATTATCTTGATATTACGTGTACAGGCAAGGAGAAAATTTTTTTAAATAAATATTTTTGACTAACTTTAGTATGCTGGGCCAGTAGCTGCCACATGCTTGAATCATTAGGATCTATGGCAAGGTTCTTAGCAGACGTCAGCAATCCATTGGAGCTCTTTATCACGTTCTTTCCGGCCTAAAAACAAGGACAAATAAACCACACCCACTTAACGAGAAAGGGAGGGTACCATGACAATGGGCTCTTGAGCAACACGAGCTTGGGCGCTGATTTTAGCCGGAGTACTGGCAAACTGAGGGGAGGAGGCAAATGTAGTGAGAGCCTCCACTGCATCAATGAGAGGTTTAGTGGTATGGGCACAGGCCTCACGGTTTTCATCAGAAATATCAGCTGCAAGTAACTGCGGAATGAGAGAAGGAGAAACGTAATTATACATTAAATTTAATACAATCAAGTGATTTATAATTACTGTATTTCATATACAGTAATGGTACATGCATTAATATATCAGCTCATTTATAAATTATAATAATACTACTTTAAGTAGCAAACTACATGTATAAGTAATATTTTAATAGATGCTCATCAAGCAGTTACTAAATAGTTACTTAACTGTTCATAATAATTAATAAACTAACCTTAATATTCTTAACAAGGTTAGCAGTGGCGCTAGCAACATCTTTGGCTGCTTGTACAAATTGTTTCTTGGCCACAGGATTAGCTGTGCGACTGGACGCTAGTTTACAAGCATTGCAGAGTGTACCAGTGTGTTTAGCTATTACTGTAGCTGCTGATAGTACCTGGAATAGAGGGAGAGAGGGGGAGAGAGAGAAAGAGGGGGGGGGGAGAGAGATATTAAATATACTAGCTAGAACATATTTATATCTCTTTACTTGTTCTTGAGTAGAAGAGGCGCTCAATAAACTCTCACAAGCTTGAACAATGGCTTGTCTGGCTCTAGCAAACTTGGCTTCGTCAACAAGACCGGGGACAGCAGCAACACTTGAGGGATCAGCAACACCAACCAAATAAGCAGCCTATAGTAATGAATCAAGGAATGAATGAATGAATCAAATAATCAAGAAATGACTCATGGAATCAAGGAATGAATCAATCAATAAATGAATAAATCAATGAATGAATCAATGAATCAAGGAAGGAATCAATGAATCATAGAATAAATCATGGAGTGACTAACCTGAGCTGCAGCTTCTGTGAGTTGACAAACGGCTTGAGCACAAGAGTCAACAGCAACACCAAAGTTCTCAAAGTCTCCTTTCTTAGCAGTGCTAGTGATCTGAACCCCTGATTCACCAAGAGCCTAAATAAAATAAATAAATAAAATATAATAAATACAATAAATAAATAAATAAATAAGAGCAGTTATAGTAGAGATACATGAATGTGGAATAATGTAAATTGAATTACACATGTCCATATATGGCCACATTCTACTGTACGTGATTCAAAATCAAAATAAAAGATTTGTACACACACAACTGTGCACCGAAAGGTTTCCTGATAGAGTAGATAGAGTTACGCAATCTACTCCAGTCCCTCGATTCCTAGTTTCCTACTCCATAGCCACTCTGTTACAATGACGCTGTTTTAAAATTCAAATATACACGTACAGTAGCAATTAAAATTTAAAAAACAAACAACATGAAACTGCAGCCTCCAGTGAACATATACCACCATCTCTTAATATCATGTAATATTTGTATTAATTGTATTATATGATTCATCTGTGTAAAGATGAGAGCTTCAATTGAGTACTTGTTAAGTCCAACAACATAAACTATGCAACATTTGTTGCAAACAACTTGTTGCATGAAACACAGTTTGTAAGGAGCCAATGAAGATTGAAACATGTTGCATGAAATAGAACTGTTCCTTATTTCATACAACATATTGCAAGTTCCATGCAACAATTTAGTTGTTTGCAACAAATGTTGCATAGTGTATGTTGTGGGATTAGCAAGTACTCAATTAAAGCTTTCATCTATACCACATGATGAATCACAAATACCAGTTTCCTGTTTTTCCAATACCACAAGAACAAAAGTACAATAATCGAAGCCAGTCCTTTGTTGGCCAATTGTCCACATATAAACCACTACACACACACACAAACAGACAATCAGGCCATCATGTGTAGGTATTCCTTATTCTCTCATTTCAATGGCTTAGCACAAAGCATCAAAGCAACTTTTAGTGTCTTCTCCTCTTCTTGTAAACAGTCTCTCCTGCCCACTCTTAGCTTACATCACTGATTAATCCAATTAGTGATTAGTGCCGGTTAACTGTTTGTCATTGTTGTGTTAGCCAAGCCGGCTACACTTGTACTGATGCCACACACGTCTCACTACTACATGTGTAGGCGTTTGTACACTCACGATATCTCACCACATGTAAGTGGAGTGAG